CTATCGATCATAAGGTGATCGCGTATCAGGTCATAGCTCGGCAGTCAATTTGTTAAGGCGGATCACCGTTGAAAGTAGCTCTCGACAGTAACGTGTGTCTTCCGGAAACTTGTTGAAAGTGAGAATAAAAAAAGTACCAGAATGGACAAAAGAGATATACCGGAAAAGTACCGTACTCCGCCGCGTTCTTCGGAATTGTTGTTCGGAGAGATATTCGCCGCGGCGGAAGAACGTAAGAAGTACCCAAAGAAGAGTCCCGAAGATATGGTACCCGAGAACGAGTCGCCCGAGATCGATCCCTTCGATTCTTCAAGAGAAAAAATTTAGGAAGATTGCCATGAAACTTAAAAGAGATTTACCGCAGTTATATTTCGTTGCCGTCATAGATCTTTTTACTACCAATTGTTACTACCGTTGTGTGAAATTTTGTGATTTTCTACTTCTCCAACAACTGCGATTAATAATTACGACCCTACTTGATTCCTAGGTATTTGCGCAAGACGTTGACGACGTATTTCACCCGAAATATTCATTGTTATTTAGATGGTACTGCAGTTGTTATGCGGCATATCGAATATTGATGCAGGAGTATTAAAGCGAATGAGACTTCGCGTTTATACATGCATTGACGGTGTTCATTGCTGATCCAAGAAACGGGATAATTTTACATATAAAAATAATTTAAAGATATATAAAGAAAAGGACATCAGATCAATGTAGGATGTTTAATATTTAATAATAATTAGGATGTTAAAATTGGTTATACTAATATTAACTTTACAAAAACGCGCGCCAGTGTCTAAAACTAAAACGGACGTTTTATTGTTCTCGCGTAGAATTTCTACACATATAGAGGAAAATCATGCATAGAACCCGTTTTCTTCTTCGTACTGCAGAAGAAGTTTCTGGGATCAAGATAACCGTCTCCAGTCTCGTGGCGAGAGGTTAGGGGTTCGTTCCCAAAGGTGAAATTGGAAAAAGTTTTTCCGTTTGCGTGTGGATGCTTCTGCGGGCAGTATCAATCTCGCGGACTTTTGGTATTTCAGACCCTTCGGAATCTCTATACTGATGCACGTAATGTCCCAAGTATTTTAGTAACAGATTTTAGATCGGAGCTGAGAAAATCGCGGTCATCATTTTAATATCGTTTGAGTCGCTTTTTGGACATTTATCTCTTATCGTGTGTATTTTTGCTTAAAAAAATATGCTTATTTATCCTTGAAATTCTTCCCCGCTGGTACAAAATTCGGGCGTTCCGGGAATACGCGAATTTCGTGCAGACACTAGAAGTGCACGAATGTAATTGGAGTTTTATGACAGTGGGGCTAATTTCCCTGGATGGAAAGCCGGACCGAAAACTCTCGGTAACGAGACTTATTATTTATTCTTCCTACCATGTTGCAAATTCCCCTCTCCCTTTCCTCAAATTGTGGCTTTTACAGTAGGATATGACATACAGCTTATCCGTTACTAAGTACATTTCTTTCTCAAATTAAAAACACAAAACTATTCTTTTTAATGCATACAAGTATCATGAGAAAAAAGAATTGTGATATATTCACAATCTGAAACAGTCGTCCAAGAAACGGGCTGATTATTTTCCTGATTTTTCTTTTTTTTTCTCTTTTTTTTTTATTAAGAAAATGTTAATACGCCACCCTCATTTCAGGTCATCCTTTGTGCCTTGAAATAGACACGCCGTTTATCTCTGAATTTAAATACACGTAGAACAAGAGTATTTAAAGAGCGACATGGTGGGATCGAGTTGAACTGTAGCCATCTCATCAGACGTTGATTAACGGCGCCGGACGAAATCCTTTGTCCATTTCTGTTTCGGTTGGAAAATATTGCTGGTCGTTCTTGGTTCTGTAAATGGCCTGTACGAGTGGCCTAATTACTATACAGTGTTTAAGCTAAAAAAAAGGGAAAGAAAAGAAAAAAAAAAGAAAATCAGGAATGTAGTCCGTTTCTCTTTCAGATTACGAATATTTGGCAAAATGCCTCATTTAATTATGTTTTTACAAGAGAGGTAATACCTCTTTATTCTTGTTATTTTAATTTTAATTGCAAAAGAGTAATCGTTCCTTGTGTGTTATTTTGTCGTCGTTGTTTTTTAAACTTTGATCTTCTCTTGGTATAAATTTAGAAGTAATTATATCTGCACCCTCTCTTTTTCAGATGCAAATTTATTTTTATTTTTATATCTTCTATAGATTCATTATATCAATATCTCGCTATAGTTTGATAAATATATGTGGATAATATATGAATTATATTTGTATATAATTAAATAACAGGAATTGAGAACAATCAACGTTTCGTGAAAGTAAATCCACATTGATAATTACACGAAAATAATAAGATATAGGAAGATATAGGAAGATAACTCCAGATTAAAAAAAGTTTGGAAGCACTTTTTAAAAATTGACATTTTTGAAATTACTTATTTAAATATTCATAACAATGTACTTTTTTAACAGTAATTTTTTAGATAAAAAATTGACACATTTTTGGGATTACTTATTTAAATATTTATAACAATGTATTTTTTAAATAGTAATTTTTTTTAGATCAAATAACAGTTACTAGATCTAAAGAATTATTGTTAAAAAAAACACACATTTTTGTGGACATTTGAATAAGTAATCCCAAAAATGTCAATTTTTTAAAAGTGCATCCAAACTTTTAGTTTGTACGTATAAAGTTATTTTTTTTTATAAAATAAAGCAAAAAAATGTTTGACACGAAAAACGTGAAAAACAGACGTATCCTTACGGCAGCATCTTGCGGTTGCTTATGTTAAATCTTTACGGAGCTGAAAAGATAGAGAAGAAGTATGAGCTACAACGGGAGGATCCATTTCGTCTGATGCTGATTCATAGCGGTTAGGCGTGCTCTGCATTATTCAGAGAGCGCACCTGACCGTATAACGTCGCGTAACTTTAAATACAGCTGCATCACTTTTGACTGTCAAAGCAGATAATGTGGCACGTCGTACACTTTTCTACTAGCTGCATCGATTGTTGTCGCAAAATCGAATAAAGGAGATGCACAGGATTTTATGCGAGAAATAGCGATACGCAGATTTATGGTTAGCGTATTTTATTATTTACACGCCTCATTTGTTTTTCTATTCGGCATTTTATATTCGTCGAAGTGTCATTCTCTAGCTACGTTTGGTTTAAACGTTTTACGCGCTGTATTTGATTTTCCTTCTGCTTGTAATGAGTGATAAAGGAAGAATAAAACTTACAGCACGTAAGCGTTCAAACATACTATTCTACGAGGTTAAATCCGAAATTTACACTCGGTAATGAAATAAATAAACAAAATAAAATGCTATAAAAAACAACAAAATAAAAGTTTTACGCTGTAAAAGAAAAACAAAGTTTCTATCTAATTTAATTAAGTTTACATTCGCTAAAAGAAACTCTAAATCTTTTAAATGTTTTGGAGATTACCAGATAAGATAGCAAGAACACGAAATGCATCGTAACGTAACAATAAACGTTATATCAGAGATAGTAATATTATATACTAGTAATTATAAATATTTAAAACATTAACAAATTATCATACAATTAGAAATAAAAATGTAAAGGTAATCTAATTTTAAGCAAATGAGAAAAGTTCGTAAAACCTATAAGAAATAATTGCAGGATAAAAAAAAGTATAAAAACAACGGGATGCTTTTATTTAAATTTGGATACAGAGTTCATTTTCACGAATGTGTGGAAACGGCTATACACATACACTCTGCGCGCAATTTACGAACGCGCTCTCTATTTCGACCGACTATTTCCGGTCTTTGCGCGATGCTGCTCGTACAGAATACAACATATTTTTTTTTCTTGTTTCCTCCGATTTCGTTGGGACATTCTATGTGTGGGTATGTGTATGTGTGGGTGTATATCGCTCGCTTCACTATACAGCAGCAATTCTGTGATTTTCTCGGATTTTTCTTCACGCATGTTTGTCAACGTTCTATTATTTCGCAAACTGTTAGCGCGCGAAATGAGTTTCATACTTGGGACTGCTAAAGACACATTTTTTATTCTTTATTTTGTTTACGGATAGAAACGCACGTTGCTCGGGCATTGTTGATTCTTTAAACAATCGCTGTAACAAGTACTGCGTGTAAAAAAAAGACACTTCCGCTTGAAATATTTTATTTCTCGGAAAAAAATTCTCACTAGACGCGGTTGATAAAAGAATTGCTATTGCATTTGGTAAAAGTGCAACAGGCAAATATTTCTATTTAAAAAATTGTATGCAATAGGTATTGGAAAAAACAAAAAATCTATATCTATTTTATATAGAGAAAATAAAAAGAATATTATTTTATATTGAAATCTAAAGGTATGTAAAAATATATATGTGTGTGTAAGTGTGCGTGCATGCGTATGAATTATGTTTCTAGCGGCTAATCGCTTAGAATAATTTACTCATAAAAATCTGCTGTGTTATATATGTATTTGCAATTTCATTTATATGTAATTAAGTGAAAGATTATCACATTGTCAGTTTTAAAGTAGAAATAGAACTGCAGTCGAAATCTTTTTAAAAAAATTAGAAAATTTTAAATAGATATTAATTATAGTTAGTCAAATTTGATAATTTGCATTGATTGAATCCATAGTGACGGCTATCTAAAAAAAAAATCATAAATTTAAGATATCGACTTGCGATATTTTAAATAAGCATATAACATGTTAAATAAACGTCCGTGATCGTCACTGTAATCCACTATTATACCGGTTGCAATTTCACCCGTCGCTCCATGCCTAAACGAGTGATCTGATTCTTTCAAGAGCTTTATGATGAATGGCGGATTCGTAAGATTGCACGTAGAGATTGCGGATGCTGGGCACGACAAGGCTAGCTCGTCCATTCTCCTCGAGGACGACGCGGCTTCTTCCACTCCGCTCTTCCACACCGCTTCTTTTTCTCCTTAGGCTCCAAAGCGACGTAGTAGAAACCATCTGTCTCATTTGTTTCAGGTTCTGCCACCCTGGAAAGCCGCCAAGACCGGGACTATATCCTTCAAAATTCGTACGAACGAGCCCAATGGATTGATCATGTATAGTCGCAGCGGAGCACAAACGAGGGTACGTATCTTTATTTAGCTTTCCCTTTTCATTAAAATAATCATCGTAACGAAAAAATCATAAGGATAATAAAATATACAAATTTTTTCTTAATAAATTTATAAAAACAAGTAATACGTTACGCAAAAAAGTGGAATAATACAGAAGAGTTTTGGACAATAAAACCAAATGCGGCTGTCAAAGTGCGATTACGCGTCCAACAATTATTGGCTACTAAAAACGTTTTTCAAAATAACAAGCCGCTTTTGTTTCAAAACTCATTTCAGTCGCGGTTGTACACTCGACTGACAGTAATTTAATTATCGATGCACAATTCCATTCTCCTGTGACACTTCGACGATCAATGCATTCTGGCGGTCAGCGACCTTCGAGTCTGAATTTTATAATTATTTGATTATTTGAGACATTTTCAAAATATTAAGTAAATATCTATATTCTTTTTGACATAAAATAATATTATTTAATGTAGGAGACATAAATTTTGTAATTATTTTTTTTAAATTAAATTAACAAATATATTAAAATAAATGCAAAGAATAAACTTGACTATCATAAATCAACTAATTATTATTATATTTGTTGTAGAAAAATAAATTAATAAATATTAATTATATTCTAGAATTAGATATAATTTAAATATTTTATATAATTACATTACATATTTTGTATTATACATATTTTTTTATTAAATATGACAAAAGACTAATTATAGACTAGAAAGTTTAAAAAGATGTGAATCGCTCTAATGATATTTATCAAATGTTATTTACAAAAGTTATGTGTGACAAGTCTTTTTCGATGGTTAGTAAATTTAAGCCAATACGTCTTCATTTACTCGTAATCCCATTAACACTAACGATACGCCGACGTAATATATCTTCATCCATCTACCCAGAATAACAGAAACTCAATAAATTACGACAATGAGCGTCCTTTATTTTAAACATAAATGAAAAATATAAATCTCACATTTGGCTACAATTTACTAAATATTTAAAAAGACTTCCTATTCAATTTCTCTTACTTTTTTATACAAAGTATACCTAAGTATAATTTGTTAAATTGGTAATACCATTTATCAATTAAATAAATTTTCACTAGAAAATCTATCAAATAGTATTATAAAAATAAATACATTGACGTATTTGTAGAAAGCTTGTGCGCACGCGGAAACGGTTTTACTTTACGTTGAAGTAGCAATATGGTAATAAATGAACCGTTTTCATTTATTACAGGAAGATCTGTTTGCCTTCGAAATTCTTGGCGGATATCTTTATACGCACGCCGATCTCGGGAGCGGCTCCGTTAAAGTAAAATCGTCAAAGACACGCGTGGATGATGGCACCTGGCACGACGTTGTCCTGAGGAGAGTCGAGAGAGAAATTCGAGTCACTGTCGACAGCAACATAGTCGAGTTTCGTACGCCAGGTAATGAAGAATATAGCTTTTTCTACCTAACCTTATCTTGTCAAAATATATGTGAAAACATTTAAAAAAAAAATAGAAAATGTATATGGCATTTATAATTGTATACGAAGATAATATTATGAAAAAATAGTAGTAGTATTATTTCATGATGTAGATTGTATTCTGCTGGGTGAATTTGAACTGGAGCAGCCATGCAACTTTCTACATCATGATCGCTGCATATTTTGTATAGATATATATATTTCCTTTTTCCAGAAAATTATGATTAAATTCATATCCATAATGTTCTCAAATACTACTAAATCGGGAAATAATTAATAATATACAATATATTGTTAATAATAATTTAAATTAGGAAAAAACATTCCAGACGATATATAAAAAAAAATCAAATGACTGATCTTGGATTAATAATCATATATAGCCAATTATCTTATAAGATTATTTATATTTTCGGAAAAAGAGCCAATATCGTTCTTAAAACACAAACTGCATATCGATAAATTATCGATGCCTATCGTAGCGTATTTATGCGTGCAGTAGCAGCTCTTTTTTCAAAAAGAGCTATCTCACCATATACATAAAGTGTCTAACCCGGTCTGGCAGATAAGTGTCCTCGAGCGTGTAACTCTGAATTATGAGTGGCTCGGCTCGCTCAGCTCACCGTTTACGTCGGTGGACCGCGGTGTGTCCAGAATTTACTCACCGCACCGCGACTAAGTGATAAAGCACTACGTATGTACGGCCGCAAACACGTGAACGATACCGCAAAAACGATAAAAAGAATTTCATTGAGATAGCAAGGATCCATATATCCTCCTGCAGACAACGGTGACTTAGCTTGCTGAAGATGTTACTGTGTAGTAGATACTTTACTGTCACTGACTTTTTTAAAGAAAAAATTTGATAAACTCGAAAATCAATGATATCAACAGCAAGATGATATCAACTATTTGATATCAACAGTAAGATAGGAAGATCGCTTAAAAAATAAAAACATTGTTTAACAAATAATAGAACAAAAAGAAAACTTTTAGTATATATGTACTTTTACATAAAATTTATACAAAATTTATTAATCTATATTCTATACAAAATAAATTATCTAAATCTTAATTCGTAAATTATTAGAAAAAACCATTATTTTTAATTATTAACTACGTAAAAACAAAAGTGTCATTTATTTTAATTTAGCCATAAAATCTCTATAACGAGAAGGATATCCGATAAATCCGGGACAGCTTGTATATCCACATATATTTTAAATGCAACAAATATGTATGTATGTATGTACGCATATTCCCGTAATTGAAATAACATCATATTATTTAGAAAAAAGTATGCATTATACGACGATGATACATAGTTCACTTTTTCAATTACATATTTCAATAAAACATCTATCTAGCTAAATTGAATAATTAAATTTTTCTGTTCTTGTTACATAAAATGCATATACACGCATATTTTAACATTTTTATAACTTTCTAATGTAAATTTTTATTTGACCCGCTTGACTGTCTAGAGCCATTAATTAACAAATAATAAATTATTAACTACATTATATACAGAACAGTGGTACCTACTTTTTTCTCTGAAATTTGCTGAGTGAAGGACTAAGTTATCCGTTTGTTTCCTCTTTCCTGTTAATTCTGTCGCTCATCAGCAACTTTTCTCTACACTCTATCTCTCTACTTTTTTCTCTCAATTTTTTTCATCCAGGTTAATATGGACAATTTACTATTACCTACTACATGTTAAAAATCAAATTCAATAATATATTTTTATATTTAAAATAATCTTTTGAATCAAATAATTAGAAAATGTTTATGCTATTTTTTAGCAACAGATTAATGTGCCATAACGGAATATTATGAAATTATTAGATATATATTAATTAAACACACACGTCTGATAACCTACTTTATTAATTGGTTTATTTTATATTGGTATATTGCCACGTTTTATTCATTACATAGTAAATTATATTGAATTTTGTTGTTTGAGGAAATTGTTCTGAAACGTAATAAATTTCTCCGTTTCTTTCTATCTCTTTATTTATACATATATTTGTCTATCTCTCTTTCTGTTCTCTCTCACCGAACATTTGTGAGATAAATTTACAACTTTAGTCGGACTGTCACCGTTTTCATCTTACCACGACTAGAGCCTGTCGCGGTTAGCCGAATTACACGGACGGTTAATTCGCCGACAAAACTCTCCTTTGAATCATACCAACGTAGCTTGAAGCAATTCCGTCCTTGCGCCCTTGTAAAACCGCGAGCAAATAACGCGGATCACTGCTGAGCACAGAAAAAGATCTTTGACTTTCACATTCCCTACGAAATAATTTGTTTAACCGCGGTATAAACGAAAACAAAATCTACATTTGCGAATAAGGGGAATATAAGAAAGGGTATGTAAAGTATAGATATGTCAGAAGTACTAAATTTATTGCTTTCTATGTTATATCAATATTATTAAATATTTGTTCTTAAAGTGTAAAAGTTTCAATATATCAAAATATGTTGAAGATAAGTTTTAGACCAATGTCAGAAAACATAAAAAATCCTAATTTATTTGACATTCCAGAAAAGTTCGGGATCGATATTAATTAAACATCGATGTTTGTGTCACAGCGTATATATTTTTGCAATTTATTAAATGCCAGTCTTAATTGATTTATTGTGCACGCTAAATATGAACGACATGCTATATAGATTGTTAGATCTTTGATAGATTTTTATTCATTATTTTCTCTGTTTTGATGATTATTGAAAATAATTAAAATTTTTCATATAAAGCTTAAAAAATTATTTTATTTTTTAAATTAATTTTTCTTATATAGTTTATTCTATATTTTTTTAAGATTACATCATATCGAATGATGCACAACAATTTACGTACTATTTTAAATATTAAAAAAAATACATATATTTTTACATATATTAGATATTTAGATAAATTTCCGAGTGTAATGCATAAAAACTATAAAATAGTTTTTTTAACATGTATTAATATTGCAATTAATTTAATGGTAGGAGATTCCACGCAATTAGACTTGGATGGCTTATTATATATCGGTGGTGTGGGCGCACCTTTTGCGCCTTTAACTGTTCCACCTGTTTTGTGGACGGGCGCCCTTCGACAAGGCTACGTGGGATGCATGAGAGATCTTGTTATTAATGGAAATCCAATAGACATCGCGGGATATGCGCAGCAACAAGATTCGGGTAAGCGAATTGAATTTTAATATTTATTTATAAGATGATAAAGAAATCATCTCAAAAGATCTTAATCAAAAAGGATAACGATTTGTACTAATTTCGGAAAGTAGTACGTAGCAGTTATAAAATTATTTTTCTTTTTTAGATTTTATTATTTATTATTTATCGATATTTAACTGCAATTACAAATCTAATATCTTTAAATCAACATAACATGTTTATTTGAACAGAAATATAAGATAGATTTAAAATAACGTAATTAAAGTAACAATCAAACTATAGTTATACTGTTGAAACTAAATATTATATTATTCTGTCCTACAAGAGATAACCATATTTGTTAACTATTTGTTACTAAAAACATCCTGCGGCGTGCGGTATTACTAATATTTATACAGGGCGAGTAGAGATACGATTTTTTTATTATTGGAAAAAAGTAGATTACAGTACGTCTGGCAGCCGTGATATTTAATTATTATATTTTTTTCCAATTTGTCGATCAAATACACGATCGGTATTTTTAATTATTATAATAATTAAAAAATGCGCTTTTGACAAAATGCATAAGAATTTTTCTATTGTTGAAACTTTTAAATAAAAAATAAATAAAAATTAGATTACAGATATTATTGATATACTCTTTTGTTTGCATTAAGTTGATTAATTCTTCAATATAATATTTCACGATTGCATATATTTTACAGGTGCAGTAAGACCCGCATGTCACATGCAAGCCCCGCATTGTTCTTCAAACCCGTGTATGCATCGTAGCGTTTGCCTTGAAGGGTGGAATCGATTTCACTGCGATTGCACTAACACGTCTTTCACAGGACCTACCTGTGGCAAAGGTGAAAATATACTTTTACCTAATTGTCGCTTTTTTCAAAGTGGTTTTTTTTTTAAACAAAAAAACAAGCTCTCTGACACGCTTTTACAATAAATTATTCAAGTTTAAAACTTAATCATTAAATAATTCGACAAGTCCAAGACAATTTATGTATCTTAAAGCTGAATGAGTTTTGCACGAGCATGTAATTTATGAGTTTTTAGTAAGTAGCAAGTTATTATTCCTTATTGCAGATGCGTCAACATTGCATCTGAACGGTACGCAACAAATGACGGCGTTGATGCCGGAGGACTCCAGAACACAGGCGGAGGAAGTTGTCGTGCGATTCAAAACGACAAGACCGCGCGGTCTTCTATTGGCGACTAGCTTTGAGAACAGCGCTGATCGCTTGCAGATTTATCTAGACGAGGGCAAGGCACATATGCTGATTCACATCGGAGACCGAGAAAAGGTAAAATTATTAAGTTACTCAACTATATTTGCGAGATAAGGAAACTTATAGTTCTGAAGCCTTATAAATATTTATATTTCCTTGGAAGTGAAATACAATAGACTTTTAAATATCATCAAATACGTAAATTTTAAATACAATTTTGTTTGAATTAATTATTGTTTCTTGTCTTTTCGACAAACTTCTCATTTTGTCGACTTATAATTTAATTTCATTATCATGTAACATGATATTAGATCGAAATATATTGATTTTGTAAACGTTTTATTATAAATGTTAAACAAATCTTACTTTAAATAAGGACGCGTTGTTGAAAAGATAAGATATTGGATTTATCTCGGACAAATTCGATCATTGACTTAACGTCAATGTGCATTCGTTTAGAAGTTAAAGGGCCTCGCGTGGTCCATGAGGATTTACATTCCCGAAGCATCTCCGATGTTGAGCGTCGTCCCGATATAGTTGACGTAGATCGTTCTCTCGTTGCGAACGACGTCATGACGTTAACTTAATACGTCACCCGCAGCAACATCCGCCAAGTAAACGGCTGGCGGCTCTCATCTCCATGTAACGGAATATACTTTTTGACGGAAATGTTGGACGCGTAAAACGCATTCTCGGCAATTGCTCCCGAAGTATAAGATGACGCGCAATAATTTTCACGCTTGGCTACATTAACTCCCTTTTAGCAATATGATAGAAAAGATTTTATAACTAAATACAATATATTATCTACTTAGTATTTATGAACTTTTTACATTTTTTTGTAAAATAATGCTAGATAGAAAAGATTGAAAAGACACGAAAATTTAGTAAAATAAAATTACATGAAGTAAAGTATTTAAGTATTTTTAATAACTGTCATATTGAGTAGCAATTCCAAAAAAAAAATCTTTTTTTATTATTATAAAATATCTTATTTCAGATATAATTAATGAATCTTTGTTAAATTTTTAAGAATTGGCAAGAGTATTATCTCAAGGTCGCGAGGAGCGCTTCTGTGCTGCTCCATCGATCGTTTTCCCGGGAGCCAAATGTATTTCTGAATGCATCCTGCAACCTCTCGTTCACGCAATCTCCAACACTCCATTCCTCCCTTGTACCGCATATACGTGGAAATACATAAGCAATTCTGCAATCGCGACGCTTCCGGTCGAACGAACAGTAAATCGGCCGATTCGATTTCGCAGCTATTTTATTAGATGCATAAATGTACAATTTATTTTTTTGTCTCTTTTTCTTTTCTTCTCTTGATCTTTACAAATACATATAATTCTCAAAATATTATATTCTGAGATATTACATCTTATGTTCATCATTGATATAATTGTATAACAATAACAAAATGTTGAAAAAAAGAATTGGATGCAGATTTATATTTTAATTAATTATAATTTAAATATACATACGATTAATATAACACAAATTGTTCTCGCATTGATATCTCATTAAATTTCTAATTTAATAAAATTATATACCGAACATAATTCCAAATTATGGATCGTCTAAGCTAAACGTTGAGGAGAATTAGTTGGGAAGCAGTGACCCAACTATGGCATTATTATTGTGGATATTAATAGGAGTTGCGTTAATCTGGGATTAACAATCTTGGGTCGAAGTCATTTGGAACTCTCGTATCGCGCGTGAATGAGGAGCCAACGTGCAGATCTACAAGTACACGCGTATAAGCACGAACGTACAAGACATACAGTAATTTACGGTAATGTTTCAATCTCTGTACCTACACGGACTCGTTAATTGGACGGAATAATTGATACGATAATGCGACGCTCGACGATTAGTCTACGGAAAACCAGATTTCCACAAAGTTCCTGGGAAGTTGGAGAACATTTCAACGAAGATTACTATCGCGGTGGCTTCGAACCGCGAGCTTTTCTCGACCGCGAGATTATCTGCGATTTTCGATAAATTATTAATCCTTTTTATTGGCGAGAGTATTGTATAAATGATAATGATAAAGTAGGTACTTCATTAATTGAGGTATTATACTGTTACTTTTATTACAAAAAAAATTATTACATTTATGCAACTATTCTATTTTTTCATTCTTTTATTTCAATTTTAATTACTTTATTCGACTATGCCTATTTAATCTGCGTTGAAAAATGAGTAAAAAAACTATAGGCGCATTGTTCGTGTCCCAGTTATTAAAGCAATTATTTAGTGGCATAGTTGTTTTTAATAACATTATACATAAATTTAAAAAATATACATAAAATGTACTCTGATGAAATCTTTTCTCGGTAATTTCATACAATTTTAAAAGCTATATAACGTACTTACATTTCAATGTTTTACGTCACATAAAGTTAAATTTTCCACTTAATGCAGAGCTTGATTTTGATTTAAATAAAGCTAGAAAAGTTCCGAAAAGGAAAGAATAGCTTCCATAAAAATACAATCCAGTTTATCAGGTCAATTTATCATGTAATGCACATTTCGTTTTTACTCACAAAGATTCCGACGAAAGTTAAAATTAATTTCTTCTGAATGGAAATTTGATAGTAAACTATTTTTAAATTTCTATACGTACGTATTAAATACAGAGCATGTATTTTTAGCGATTGACACGAATTGAACGATGAATTAGTACTTGTGATAATAATAATTTTCAACGGCAATAGCGGCGATGCATAGATGACGTTAGATGACAAACGTGCGTCAGGTGTCACACAACGCATGATATCATATATTGCAATGGGGACTGTGCCAGATAGTGACGAGTTGCTTGGATTTATGAGACTTGGTCGAATGACGGGCATCTCATAGAGGTGGTTTATCGATAGCGTTAAACCTATTGCTACACGACGCTGCAAAAATGCAATAAAAATTGGAAACTTCGTTGCATGTACACATATCAACCGACTTTGTTTTAGTAAATTCTTAAAAAGTAAATAAAAAAATAGAAGAAAAAAGAGAAGAATTTTTTTTATGATACAAATATTATAATTATTAAATTTTCTTTATAAAAATCTACAATTATTGTACTTTAAACATTTTCTAAAATCGGTATCGTAAGGTACTTATGTTTAAAAAAGAAAAAGAAAAAAAGAGTGGGAGAAAGTTTTTTTATGAACTAAGGATGCGATTAAAATTTAACAGATATTATTTTATTTCAGTTATTGACAACTGGGCAAGGTCTTAATGATGACTTGTGGCATACACTAAAATTCTCCAGACGATTCAATTTGCTCAAATTCCAGATCGACGATGATACGGCAATGCGAGGTATGTATACCTGCAATAGTAACGCTATATGCAATAGCGACTGAAATATATATTCCATAGAAACATATACGTTATTAAAGCCAACAAATTACATCGTTGCATACACAATGCGTATTTTCGTAGGACGAGATTTCAAAACTCATAAAGCGGTTTATTGATGCGGAACGTGCGTTTTGTATAGAGTGTTAAAATCATGGTAATATCGAGAAATGAATAATTTTGTGCAAGATAAATTGAAAATGTAAAATAAATTTCTTTCACATGAGGCTTTATTTACGTACAACTGCAAAATTAATGACATTTGCCCCGTGCTATTTAAATTAATTTTAGTCTTGAATAAACATTGATATTTTTATATTAAAAAAAACTCTTGCTACAAATCATTGAACATATTATTGGACGTATTTTCGACAGAATATGCATTTAATTTTTTGCATTTGTGTATCAACATTCTAAAATCTTTAAAACAAATTGAACCAATGCAAACCAACGTGTCCTGTATAGTTTCATTGTTGAAATTAATTTATGAGATAGTGGAACTTAAAATGTGACAAAGTGCTAGAAATTGGAAGAAAAGTCGATTAATTTAGACACGAACTACATTATTACGGAAACAGGACGCTGTGCAAAGTGCAGCAAATTGTATGTCGGTACCAGATGCAAACAGTTGATTGGTTTCGTGCTGCTGCAATGCAAGTGGCGTCTCTGATCGCAAGGTGTGAGAAATAGCGAGATGAAAAAGACGATTCTATTTCAGAATATTGACGAAAGAAAACAGCAAGAAATAGAAAGTGCCAAAAGTATATCAATTTTCATGCATAAACAATATTTCTACATTAGGTATTAAGTTGAAACAAAAATTTGAAGTTTTAATTGTTTATTTATTATTGATTGTTAATTAACTTTTTATTTTTGTTGCAAATAATATTTTAAGGTGATATATGGTTTAATAAATATTAAGAACAATAATTAATTGTTTTTTTTTTCAATTTAACATTATTTAAGATAGAATTTCATAAAATAATTGTTAGTGCGAGAATAATAAGTCTATTTAATTGATGTTCTTATATGTTTACTCTAAATACGGATGAAAATAGCTTTGCTTTTATGATAATCAATAGACCGTCTTCTCTTTTCTGCTAAAGCTTTTACATGCGGTTTAAAGTCATCTCGTAATTAAATCTGAATTCGTAATGAGCGTAAAAGCGAATTATGTTTCAGGAAAATTAGAATTTCCATATTAACTTTCCATGATATTATGATATTTTAAAATACACTTCTCAATTTAGCGACAATAAATTGTAAGCTTAAAATGTGTGAAACTAGTGATTATTTGTACAAATAATATCAAAGAACTCGTTTATTCTTTAAGCAAAAATATTTACTTTTACAATTGTTTACAGCAAATACGATAAAGACAAAAAAACTTTTATTGTAGAGCTATTGATATGTTATCAGGATAGCGTAATGGGTTTTGCTTTAAAATACAACACAAATAGTCGTTTTATTATCAAAATCAAAAGGCTATTCATTCGAGATTGCTCTCTTATGCTTCATGCTTTTATTTTACTTCCATTTTTTACTTTATGCTTTTACCATGCAGGATATGCTTTCTCTCTTTATCTTTCTCTTTTTTCCTTGTATCATGCTTTTACTTCAAAATAATTACTTCCTCTCCCATCTTTCGCAAAGTGCATTTGCTTCACTTTTTTTCCACATTGCAGTAAAAAGAAAATCTGCGTATATAAATCACTGTTTTAGACATTTAAAAATTCAATGCTCTAAGTATTTCAATTTTTTAAATTATATTTTGGGATCGTAAAGAAGCATTATTTTAAACCCAATTAACATTATTACGCAGTTCTAAATCATAAATTAAAACTGAATAATCTTAATAAGCAACAAAAAGAGCGGTTCTTTGAAAACGAATCTCTCTTTTCTATCTTATTTGAATTACAGTCTTCTCGTTTTTAGTCATAGCTCAAAAATTGAAATTATCTTCATAAAAGAAAAATTAATTCAAAATTGATTAATAAACGTGCAATGAAGATAATGCACTTAGCATGAAATAATCTTGTATAAATTAATTTTACATTGATATGGCAAGTTATCAAAAGAAAGTTATTATACGGGAATTATATGCAAAGTTATTATACGCAGAATAATTTCTTTTCTTAGCAATAAATCTTATGGCGCATTGCAAGTTTCGAACGAGGGGAGTTTCCCTGTCATGACATTTCGAAGCGGAGGTACTTTGCACGTCGCATCGATTGCACCAGCTCGAAGGATCCTTATGCATCGTATATGCATGCGCACGTTCGAATTTCGAACTTCCAACCGCAAGGCGAACCCACGCAAGGGAGCAATATCGTATTTCGAAATCCTTATTTAGCATAAATATGTGGCGGAATCTCCGCGGCGGAAGTCGCGGGGTCAGAAAAAAGTCGCAAAGAAATACATGAAGAGGACACACGTGGAAATACGAAAGCTAAAATCGACAGATATGTGGGAGGAATCTCGTTTAACACATCTCAGAATACGTTGTTCTCATAGGTGTGATTAATACGCGACAATACGTCTAATTGGCAATATTATAAAAGAGGGTTAAAAGAAGGAAAAATTATTGATACAAATTTCAATATATTACTCAGAATAGATATACATACAATAGTTAAAAATTTGTGTCAAATTTAACACATTTCATGTATCCCAAATTGTCCACACAAATTTTTGTATTAATAATAGCTGAATATGTTGTAGAAAGCAAATATTTTATAAGAAATAATATTTAATTTTTCAGTATTGCTTTCCATTACTTTCTTTAATGTTTGTCAATAGCTTAGAACAATTTTTAATCTTCAACATCATATTTACATTAAAATCTCCGAAAAATTCTCTTACATTACGGCGTCAAAAATCTTATCAGACTCTCTGACAGACTCTCTTATATCTTTAGCCACCTCTGCAGCAGACTCTCTCTTAGAAAAATCAAAAATTACAACCGAAAGTTCACGCGTAGAAAGCTAAGCAAACAACGATAGACGCAAATGTCGAACTTAATTATTTTATGGCAAAGTTACGATGTCCTCAAAATTGTGAAATAAAAATATTTGACTGGAATTGAGTACACGTCTGTATATTCGACGGAAAAGCATGAAGTACTAGAAGAGAGGATAACGATGGGGAGGAAATGCAGAGAGAGAAAGAGGGTAGGATTAACTGCATCGTACGACCAAATTGCCCCGAGCGTATAAATACAGGTGTACACGAGGCGAGGGTGGAGTCGCCATGGAGAATTCCCGTCCGATAATCAATTTCCACATCGAGATTTATCAGTCGGTGGATTCACCGCGGCGGGATCATTCGGTCTACCAAAGATTTATGCGAGGACCGTACGACGCGGCCGTGGCCTCGCGTAGAAACGACGCTATCGCGCGGAAAATAATTTTCCGCCTTCTCTCGATCATCGCCCACCACACGCTCGCACGCTCATGCTCGTTATTAGTGTTGTTATTTGTCGGACCGACGAGTCGGGGAAATTGGCACGGCGAGTATTTCAGAGCTAAATCGTCCTGTCGTTTTCGGCTATCGCTGTTGGCAATGATCGAATGAGTCATTGGGTGTGACAGTTTTATAAATCTTCCGCTTGTTTTGGAAAAATGTAGAGAGACTCGCGCAAATTATTAACATCAAGTCCTCTTTATTATGAAGAGTTCTCTTGTAGCTCTCTAAATATAATATTACAACAGTAGTACTTCATTTACCTCAATGGCAAGAAATTTTAAAGCATCAAGAAAAAGTGTTTAGTTTTAATAATTTGCAATGTATCGACATGTTTTGGACTAGTAATTTTACATACTTTTTATGTTTAAAATTGGCACAGACATTCTTTTTTCGTACATGCAAGTTTTTATTATATAAATGTAAGTATTATATCTCGTAAGTATTTTTGATTGAAAATAATTTTTACATGTATAGAATATCTTTGAATAGTTTATCAAGCTACGAGACGAGTAATTGCGTCAGTTTGGCTGTTCCATGGATTTAAATAATTAATGAAAATCGCCGAGAAAGTTTCGCAAGATCGATGAGCAGGCACACGAAATTAAAAATTTCTTGAGCAATTTTTCACGTAAGTTTCGAGACCTCTCTCATCGCACTCGCATAAGTTGTGCAAATGGGACAAATAGCGAATTAGAAACTACTGGTTTGTTGCAAAATAGTAGTTTCCTGGAACTAAGAACTTGGAACATATGTTACAGCTATCTGACAGTTTAGACTTTGTCGATATAGCCAATATTACAAAACTTAGAAAGATTGATGTCATTCTAGCAAAACAAAGCAGAGAAAAATATTTAATGCACAGATTTGTCAAATATACATTTTGCATTTTTACGTACATATAAAACTTACATATATTTATACTTTTTTAGAAATAAAATTTGCATGCTTTTTTTGAAATAATCTACTTGTTCGTATTTATAAAAATTTAACGTTGATTATTAGGTTATTTAACATTTATGAGTACTCAATTACAGTTATAGTACATCCTGAATATCTCAATTTTGAATGAAACATAAAAAACTAATAAATGATTTATTTAATAATAAAAATTATTTAAGAAAATCACCGACATTACATTTTTCTGTTGCGCGATATTTATGTGTAGATTTTATAATTTCATTGCACAATCATTCTGAACGAATTAATATGTGTAATTATAATAAATAATTAATTATACAATCTCCCGCATATGCAAATAAGAGTACGTAATTATTATAACACATATAATTATGAGTTAATGAGTAGTCTCCTTTGTATGCTTAATCAATTTCAAGAAACAATTAAAAAACTATTTATAATCCTTTTTTATATTACGTCTTCAATTTTGGTAGAGCTTAAAACTTCATCTTTTCCGGTCACACTTCTTCTATCGGTTAAATTATAAGTTTCCCGCGGGTGCTCTCAACTCTCCTGCAATCACAAATTCAAAATGCATCGCGCATTGCGTCCGCTTTTGCATTCTGTCGGCGACTCTTCGAATCGAGACACTCTTATGAATGTTAATCGAAGATTTTTCCAAGGCTGCGGTCGTTATTGCACTCGGTCGGTGTGTCAAACGTGAGAAATATATTAGTGGACGAAAATTTCGTTTGTAAATGACAAAGATATTTTTAGTGACGAGACTGAAAAATGCATCCACCATAAAAGCGAGCCATATGAAGCCATCATCTCAGGGGTAATTGAGCGATAAAGTACAATGAATAAGATATAGAGATAGATTTATTTTAAAATAGAAGGATGAAAAGACATTTTAAGGGTGAAGGAGACCGTTTAGAACCTTCTGAAAAATATAACATCTCTTAAACTTGTTATTTTTATAGTGAACCACGAAAGTGAAGTTTTGTGTAAAAAAGTTTTATTCTATTTCTACGTTTTTGGATTTATTTTGTGCAAGTAAGCTTATACGAGTAAGCTTTTAAGAAAGATTTCTTCAAAATAAATCAGTAAGATTCTAATTGTATCAATCAGAACTTTGGTCATCATAATTGGACATTCAGTTATTTAGAATTATAATAGATATAACCATATAATTCTGATTCGTCTATTTTCAACTAGAAATTTTTCTTAGTGTATGATCGATAAGAAAAGCACGCATTCTCCAAGGCAAAGAATTCTCCCGGCTCGCGACCGCGCGCGAGAACGTCCATTTTTCTCTGTTTACGCCGATTCGCCGACCGTATTATTTACGAGCGGTAGATACGAGTCAGTGCCATCGATTTTCCGACATCCAGCGGACGGATTACAAATCGTGGGCATGCAAATGCGCTTTTTATCATGCCGACTCCTCGAAATGCTCTTCACGCCGCTGCCGGCTGCGCAACGAGAAAAGTGCATCCGGAATCGGTGATGCCGAGGGAGGAGGTCGACGTCTGCCGGGGCATTTGTGGCACTCCGTCGCAAAAGCGCCGCTTCAAGTATAAAGTAAATTATATCCCCGCGCGATTCCATCAACGGTAAACCACTTCACAGAAATTCCCTCAGGACTCTCTCGTCGCGCACAAATTCCGCGGTTAACGGAACGAGGGACACGCTACGGATGAGCAAACAATATCGATATATCGGAGATCTTAATACGATCCTCTCTGGATAATCGACATTTTTAATACCGATATCATATCCGTTTGACAGCGTCGTTATAATGTCTCTGCCAATATTGCTATTGTCATGTTGGCGAGCCATTTAAGATCGTCGTGCTTAAATGACGTGAAGACTCTACACAGTTTGGAGGATTGTCACAACCGGTGATTCTATTGCAAATATCACGTAATTTGCACATTACGTATGTATTATATAGTTTATGTGAAAATAATATAAGATAATCTAAGCAATTAGCGACATTTCCATGGGAACGGGACGCTGATTCAATCGAGCACATCTCGGTCGTATCTTATTAATATCGATAATATGAACAGCACGTGATTGGCTTACCAATCAGCCTGGCCCCAATCGGCCCCTGCAAAACAACCCCGCCACAGTGGCCACCGTGAAACAGTCACCCTCGCAAAGCTGTCCCTCGGATCACCCTATTAAACTGACGGCGAGTGCCGGCAATATTGAGTTAGGTGGCAATAGCCTAAATTGCAGCAGCTCTGCACGGCCTTTACTTCAGCGCAATCGATCGCGCTGGAACGATAATTGCTGCACAGCGAAACACATGCGGTTCCCGTCTTAGCCTGGCGTTGTTCAATAGTTCAGTTTAAATGCTAAAGTTTCGTGCATTCACGAACCTTTGAAAATTTCGGCCAGTGATCAAATCTCTTCTTCATCCATCTTTTCACTAGACACTGATGTACACGATACTTTCGCAAACACTCGAGTACACAAATACTCCAAGTAAAATATACTATAGGGTGGCACAAAAAAGTTTGGCCACAAAAGTTATGTGTTTATGAAATCATTAGTAATGTATATTTCCGAAAACAAAACTCTAGAATGTCAGTTATACCATATTAAGTATCGAAGATAATAATTAATATTCAAAATGTTCATCTTTAGCTTTGAAGTAGGTTTTAAAGCGCTTTAGAAATGCATCAGTGATAGCTATGCATCTTTTTATGAATAAATTCTTTCAGGCAGGCAATAAAGAGATCTTTTGGTCATCAATCAATGAAAATCTTCTGATTCTTTTGCATTAATATTTAAAGTCTTTTTGGTATTTAATAAGACGTAATTAATTCCAGAATTCGTTTTTTTAAATTTACGTTACTATAAAACTCAATCAAAATGACGACAAATAATGTCAATTTGTTAGCTAGATAATTTGATAAACGTACAAAATTTTCTAGCTAAATGTTTTATTATCCTGTATACATTAAATAAAAAAATCTAAAATTAAAAATTATATAAATTGTAAATATATGTAATATATAATATAACGTGTCTTTCATTTGATTTAACATTTTGAAACGCAGTAATGAAAGAACTAAATTTGATATAATATAAGTATAATTTTTGTATTATTAATTAATATAATTTTTAACATTAAATTATTTTCATTGATGACGAAGATAAGCAATAAGATCGTAAATATTTTTCAAATTTTGGTATTTTCTATTTAAACTTACAATTAGTTCGCGTCTCAATGCTTTTCAATTTAATGTCGAATAACTGTTTGTATGCAAATGTAGCGGAAGCGCAGCTGGGAAAGCAGGGCATCTTGGAATTTCGAACGCTCCACGTAGGCGGATATCTTCACGCGGGCGAGGACATACCG